AATAGGTCAGTGCAGATGGTATCTGCAGATATTCCAAACACTAACCACATTTCTCCAAAACACTCTAACAGGTTGGGGTCCTAGGCCCCCCAGGCCTCCCCCTGCCCCCATGCCTCTCACAGGAAGTTCAATCTTTCCTCCTAGGCACAAAGGGGGTGAGACTGGGTATGGATGTGAGTGTGAAGCTAGCAAGCACCCAATAAACTTCAAAGCTATGATATGGTGGTTGTGAATTTTCCTCCTAGCTCAGACAAAACCAATCTTTCAGTCCAAACTCTCTCCCTCCTTTCAGACAAGAAAAAAAAAAAAAAGTCAGGCGAGCATTCCAGGCAGCTGCCAGCTCTATTCCTAGTTACACTTTCAGATCTCTCCACAGCCCAGCCACAAGAGTTATCAGAAAGCCAGTTAGCAGTATAGGTCTGGAAATAATGTCACCCAAACACACACGACAATGAGACGTGAACTTCCAAGTTTAGATATCACTAGTAAAGTTCCTTTACCCTCCGCAGCTTCCCAGAAATATGCATTTAAAGCACCACCCCCAATTCTAGCCTGGCCTACATCTCAGAGAGCTACCGAGGAAGTGGGCACGACACAGGCAGGCCAGAGAGGACCAAAATGATGCCCAGGACAGATGCCTATTTATTTTACTGCTTTCCTCTATAGATTATTCAACTTTCCTCAGTCCAGGCCTGCAACCCAGGCAGTGGCCAGTTCATAAGAAGAAGTAAACTCGCAAACCCCCCACTCAAGCCCAAACTGATTTTTTGCAAAACCTGAAAATTTTCACCCAAGATACTGAAATGGTGTGGAATTTTCCAACATATTGCCAGATATATGCAGACCTTGGAAATACTGCAGGTTGGGTTCCAAATCACCACAATAAAGCCAGCACCACAATAAAGCAAGTCATAATCTTTTGCCTGGGATGGGGTGGAGAGTTAGGGGCTTGCCTTCAATTTGTAAAAAATGCAACATCTCTGAAGTGCAACAAAACAGGTGTGCCTGTACTGGTAACTGGTTTGTTACTAATATCATCAATGAAATTAGAAAATTTTCATTAACATCACAGCCTCACCTGCTAGAAAACAAGTTTCTCTATTCCTGGAGCCAAATCTAGCACTCTCTCACACATCCACCTGGCTTCTATTTCTCAATTTAGAAACAACACTGTTATAAGCCTTTGAAATCAAGAACCTGTTTCAAAGCAGGATTTCTCAGCCTTGGTGCTACTGACATTTGGGCCAGATAATTTTTTGTTGTGGGGAGGGCTGTCCTGTGCATTGTAGGATGTTTAGCAACCATCCCTGACACCCACTTGATGCCAGTAGCACCCTCTCCCCAAGTAGTGACAACCCAAACCTGTCTCAGACATTGCTAAATGTTCCCAGGAAAGTGCATGGGAGGAGATGAAAGAAGGCGGGGTTAGTCACTCCTGGCTGAGAAGCAATGATGCAAGCTTATACCTTCTTAAAAATAGCAGATGCCACAGACACTTAAGTTCTAAAGATTTGGGAATTGGATGCTGAGTTTTATGTCCATGCCCATCTGTGTATATGTGATTATCTATGTTTTAAAAACTGAGAAAAGCAGGCAGCTACCACAAGAATAGCCCCAATGTGATTATTTTTGGGGGGGAGGGGTGTATAATTATCCTCACTTTTCTCAAACCTTAAAGCAGGGTTTCTCAGCTTCAGCACTGCTAACATCTGGGTCCAGGGAATTCTTGGTTGTGTGGGCTGCCCAGTGCATTGTAGGGTGTTGAGCAGCATCCCAGGCCTCCTCCCACTAGATATCAGTACCAACCCAAGTTGTGACAACCAAAATGTCTCCCAATATTGCCAATGTCCCCTGGAGGGTGGAAGTGGCCCTGGTTGAAAAGCACTGTTTTCGACAGGAAGATAAATGTCCACAAATCTTTTTATGTGAAAAGGGGAATATATTTACCCTTACGCCAGATAAGTGAGGCCAGTTGAGATGTACTGGTTCAAAGCATATTGTCGGTTCACACTGAGAATTCAATAAATATTAATTATTACTTTTCAACAGACAACCCTATTCTGAGGGCATAGAAGAGGATGAAAGATAGTGTTCTTAAGATCGAGAAAAGAAATACACAGAAAGTTGGACAAGGCCAGATGAACAATGGAGATGCTGGAGGACTGTGGAAACTATTGCAGAAGAGAATGGAACACAGCCAGGATGATTCTTGAGAGCACAATTCAAAATGGAATTGCTCTCAGATTAGGATACGACCATTGCTGCAATTCTTTGGGGCTGGGCCTCAGATAATAAATTGATGCAAACCATTAATTTACAGTGCATTGTATTCTCCAGGTTTCAAAGCACTTCTCACAGTTCTGAATGTAGGCATCCTGCTTCCCCCTGAGAGAAAAGGCTCTGGTGGCTGGCCTGAGAGGCCCAGCTAATTTGGGATGGGATGGATCACCAGCACCGGCCCTGGGCGTGGGGTAGGGAAGGCTTTCCAGAGACCTGTCTATGTGAGAAAACGAAGTAGCCCTGTAATTCTTCCAAGACCTATGGAGACGTCAGTCCTGCAGGAGGAACTACACCGGGCCCAAGACAGTGAGCAGCTTCCCCAGGTACTCCCGTCAAGCACATGGGAGTCTGATGCCTGCTGAGCAGGGTCTAACCTAGAGCCAGGTCATATAATTTCATCCTTTTAGGGCAAAGGGCTGTACTCTCAACAATCCTAGAATCCCTCTAGATCAGGGGTGGGGAACCTTTGTTCTGCCAAGAGCCATTTGGATATTTATAACATCATTCACCTAATATAATTCACTTAATACAAATTTATGTTACTATGAAAAAACTCCTAGGTTTATTGAATTTCAAGTCCCGCCTGTGAGTTGCCTTGGCAGGGCCAGACCAAATGATTTGGCCAGAGGGCCGGATGTTTCCTTCCCCTGCTCTAGATTAAATCTTTTCTCCTTGAGGGTTTAGCCATCATCTGGGGTCTACAGACTGGCCACAAATGTCTTTAGCCCTAGACAACCACTAGGGTTGTGACTTTTCCCCTTAAGGGATAAGATTCCAGCTGTGGCCTGGCCGGTGCTCTGGGTGGTTAGAGAATCAACCCACACACTGAAGGGTCTCGGGTTCGATTCCTGGTCAAAGGTGCGTACCTGGGTTGCAGGTTTGATCCTCATTCCATTTGCAGCATGTATGAGAGGCAACCAATGGATGTGTCTCTCTCACATTGATGTTTCTCTCTTGCTCTTTGTTTTTCTCTCAGTGTGTCTCTTCCTTTCACTTGCACTCTCTAAAAAATCAGGGGAAAAAATATCCTTGGGTGAAGATTAAAAAAAAACAATAGATACCAGCTGTGTGTTACTAGAGAGTTGTTTCTCTATCCTCCCAATGGATCTCTTCAAATCAGGAGTACAGTCAGGTTTGCCAGCAAGGCCTAAACAATTCCTAAGATTATCACTCATTCCTCCACGGAGTCTCTCCACACAAACTGCACACCTACGGTTCATAACCTGGGACGCAGGGACCAACAGAATTCAAGGAATCTTAGGCTTCTTGCCCCAACTTTCTAAAAAACCTATATAATTGGTTACATGTAAAACATATATTTTTGGATTCAGCATTCCATTTCTGGGAATTTATCCTATAAATCCAACCCTCTCCGTGAGCAAAGATATTGTCTATTCACCGTAGCAGAAAACTACTGGAAACAGTCTAAACAACCATCAATTGAGGACTGATTAAATTAATTATGGTACACTTCATGGAATGGAATACCAGGAACCTACTAAAAAGACCCAAGAAGCTCTAGGGCAGTGGTTCTCAACCTTTCTAATGCCGCGACCCTTTAATACAGTTCCTCATGTTGTGGTGACCCCCAACCATAAAATTATTTTCGTTGCAACTTCATAACTGTAATTTTGCTACTGTTACGAATCGTAATGTAAATATCTGATATGCAGGGTGTATTTTCATTGTTCGCGACCCACAGGTTGAGAACCGCCGCTCTAGGGGTATGTTCTAGTGCAATAACGCTGGGGCAAGGGGCAGCCGGGGTTCCCCAGGGGCAACTGGCAGGGACTGGAGACATTTGTGGATGTCCCACCTGGGGGTGCACCTGGCCTTGAGCCAGGGATGTTGCTCAATATCCCACAGTCCCAACAGAGAGCGACCTGAGGTGGAGAATTCTGACACATTTACCAAAAAACTCAAAGAACACAGGACTCTGTAGACTAGGAGTGGGGAACTTCCCTCCGTGGGACAAATCATTTAATCTGGCCGCGCCAAGGCACCTGCAGGTAGGACTCGAAGTTCAACAAACCCAGGAGTTTTTTCATAGCAACATAAATTTATTTCAAGTGAATTATATTAAGTGAATGATGTTATCAATATTCAACTGGGCCTTGGGGGAAAAAAGGCTCCCCGCCCCTGCTGCAGACTATGCTACACGACTTGTGTGTATTTTTAAAGGAAAGGCGCACACGTATCTTTGAAAAGGGACGTAAGTCGTCGGTGACAGTCCTTGTCTTAGGGTAGACGGTCTGAATGCCTGACAGACTGGACTGAGGAACTGACTTTTTACCCTTTCAACTTTGTACCGGGTCCATCCCAACCGGTTTCTGATGTTGGTTTTAAAGAAATGATCTAGACACAAATGTTTCCTCTCCCTGGCATGAGTCCTGTTTCTTCCCTTTGTCTTTCCCCGGTCCCTGCCCTTTGAGAAGGGAGGAAGGCGGGTGGGATCCACATCCCAGATCAACCTCGGGGGGCCTCTCTGCCCCACCCAGGGGTCTAGCCACCCTTCTCAAGGAGACTGGAGCCCACAAGGCGGGCAGGACCTGGGCCACCTCGCACGAAGCCCCCGGCCTTCCTGGGCTCTCCCCACCCTGCGAGGAACAGGAGCCAACACCGCCCCCTTGGTGTCCCCGGCCTCCTCCCGAACCAGAGCCGGGCCTAGCCTGGCCCCTCATTCCGGGAAGCCCGGGTCCGGGAGCTCGCCCTCCGCTCACCTGGCTCGCCTTGTAAAACTGTTTCTTCAGCCCCGCCACCGACATTCTGCCTTCCGCCGTCGGACTTCCCGTTGGGACCCAGCGAACCGGAGAAACAGCGCCAGCGACAGGCTCCCGGGCGCCGC